CTGAAAATAATAAAGATTCTTGGACAAGCCTGGTGGCGCAGGCGGTTAAGTGCACGTGCTCCGCTGCGGCGGCCCGGAGTTTGCCGGTTGGGATCCCTGGCGTGCACAGATGCACTGCTTGTCGAGCCATGCTGTGGTGGTGTCCCATATAAAGTAGAGGAAGATGGGCACGGATGTTAGCCCAGAGCCAATCTTCCTCGGAAAAAAGAGGAAGATTGGCATCAGATGTTAGCTCAAGGCTGATCTTCCTCACAAAGAAAAATGATAATAATAATAATAAAGATTCTCTATAGAGTCAATGTATCAGCTAGGTCTTGTTGACTGGCAAGTGACCGAAACCCCAACAGAGACTTGTGTAAGCAAAAGTAATTTATTGTTTCATATAAGATAATTATGAAATAATAAATTAATTATGAAATTAAAAAAATTTTTAAAGTAATTTTTAAAAAATAAACCTTTTATTTTAGAATGTTTTAGATTTACTAAGAAGTTACTAACATAGTATAGAAAGTCCACGTGCCCACATCCAGTTTTGCCTATTATTAACATCTTACATTAATATGGTACATTTGTTGTGTCTAATGAACCGACACTGATACATTGTTATTAGCCAAAGTCCATTCTTGAGTCAAATGTCCTTAGGTTTTACTTAATGCCCATTTTTTGTTCCAGGATCCCACATTACATTTAGTCAACATGCCTCCTTAGAAGCTTCTTGGCTGTGACAGTTTCTCACACTTTCCTTGCCTTTGATGATGTCGACTGTTTTGAGAGGTACCAGTAAGATATTTTGTAGAATGTCCCTCAACTGAGAATTGTCTCATGTTTTTCTCATGATTAGTCTGGGGTTTTAGGTTTTTGAGGTAGTGTTTGTCAGGTTTCTCCACTGTAAAGTCACTCTTTTTTCTCCCTTTTTGTATTATACTCTTCTCAAGGAAGGCACCATGTACAGTCCACACTAAAGGCGTGGGGAGTTATGCTCCGCTCCTGGGATGTGGTGTTTTTAACCACATTATTTGGAATTCTTTCTCACAAGAGATGTGTCCATTCTCCTCCATTTATTTATTTATGTAATCATTTATTTCTATCAGTGTAGACTCATAGATGCTTGTTTTATACTTTGGGTTATACTCCACTACTACTTTATTAATTTTGTTGCTCAGATTGTTCTAGCTTTGTCCATTTTTGGAAGCTCTTTCAGTTGGCTCCTGTGTCCCTTCGATATACACTCATTATTGTGAGATTTTTTAGTGAGGTGGGGCACATTTTTACTTTCTGGCACTTTCAGGCTCATCTTGTACATTCCAAGGCCAGCCTTAGATACCGCTATTTTTCCAATGGCTGTTCTTTTTACTGGAAATTGTGTTAGGAACCAAGATCTGGGTGCCAGGTACACTCATTGCTATGGGGATGTTGTTGTCTAGACTCTGTTAGCTGACAGAGCGAGGAAATGTATATGTGTGTGCTGGAGACTCAACTGATTTTATCTGGACTCAGGTTTTCTCTTTCTTTCACCCAGGCCCTCCATGTTTACTCAATGCTTGGACAGAAATTTTTCATACTTGCGAGGTGGCTGTGGCATCTTTAAAACTTAAGTCCCAAGGAATGGAGTAAAAGTCTCTTTCCCAGAATTCCCAACAAATTCCCACCAAGTCTCCTTGGTTCCTTTTAGGCAACATTTCAACTTGGCAACTGATCACTGTAGCCAAGAGAAATCAGATGTTCTTATCAGGTTAAGCCTGGGTCATTTGCTCCTCACTAGGGTTGGAAGATTGACCCTATTTTAAACCACACGGTCTGAGAACACAGGAGACGTGGATTTTCACATGGTTGATAGTGAAAAAAGGGAAAATATAGTTGTATGGTTGAAAAATAATAATTTCCACGACAGCCAATTACCACTACTTCTATGGATTCTGAAATTCTAAAACAGCCTACCACTTACTGTGAAGTTTTAAAAGAAAATAAAATGGTTGCTTTTATAAAAAGATGCATCAGTGAATGGCTTGGGCTCGATTGGTAGCAAATGAACCTTCATAACTTCTGAAAATTGAATAGTACTTTACTATATCTTTGCATATGAGTATTTTCTACTTTGAAACTATAAATGCAGAGAGCAAATGCATTGTCAGATTCCTTTCTGTTTGCTTTTAACGATAATTTCCCTTTTACAAAAATGGAGCATTTAGTCTGGGAGGGAATAAAATCTGTTGTCCTTTGTGATTACTGCTTCATTTTGACTCTCTCCAGTGGTTTTCTTTCTTTACCTCTTTCAAGAACATATTCAAAGGGAAACTAGACAGCTTGAGGTTCATTTATTAAAATGTTAAGGCACTTTCTTTTTTTCCACTTCAAGGAAGTTTGTAAAATATTGTAAAAAGGAAGGACTATAGGATGGAAGGATTATGGGATGGCATTATAACTGAAACTACTAGTGTGATCTGAAGTTTTTGGGATTTTTTTTAGTAAGGCTTTCATGCCCCTTTTTAATTAAACCAACAATTAACAGAATAAGAATTCCAATGTAAAAGGATTATTTTCAAATTCATCCCTTGCAAAGACATGCTAGTTTTAAGATATTAGCAGTCACTTCAAAAAGTTGAGTCCGTTTTTATCTGAAGGCCATTATTAGTTCTGTTTATATTTGTTAAGATTATTTTTGCTTTTATCTCATTGCTCTTAAAAAACTACTCATGCATTGTATGGATCTAAGGGATTACAAAACAAAATATTAAAAATGCTTCTAATTTGAATTTTTAAATGCATTGCTGCTTAGGTCCCTGTGAAATGTGTTCAAATTGTAGTTGAGGCACAAATATCTTGGATGACCTCTAAATTTAAAATCCGTGAAATGGACTTAATCAAATTGGTAACTCTGAATTAAAACTTTGGTGATTTGGAACCCTTAGAAAATTAGACTTCCAGAATTTTTTTTTGAGGAATGCAGTAATGATACTTTGAGTTAGAAGACTTTTTTTTTTTTAGCTCTTTTGACAAGAATCTTTCCCAATTCTTCTCTGCCGTAAGCAGTGGATACTGGCCATAATTTATTTTCTTGACTCTATTACAATCTTCCCCTTTTTCGAGTGCTGGATATTCTAAAAATATTTAAGTTTTGTCTTAAAAATGTTCCAAAAATGTAAGTTCCTCACAAATATAATGTACAACTTGGGATTAGCATATCCATTCAATATTTTAAGTAAATTTTATTAACAATTATATATTGAAAATATTTGATGTACCGAACATGGTGATGATAAGTACTTTTTACATATTTCACTTCATTTACTCTTTATATTTTAAGAAGGTAGGTATTAAAATCTCCATTTCAGAGAAGAGGAAACTAAGGCTCAAAGAGCTTAAATTAATTATGGTCATACAGAAGAGCCAGGATTCAAATCTATCTGTAGAATATGACATACTATATCTAAAAACTAAAAAAGAGAAGAGCTATTGTAACAGACCAAAAAAAAAATTTAAGTAAGCATTGGTTGTTCAGAAGAGACCCTCCTCCATGATTCTTCCATGCTTCTACAAGGCTTTCTAGGTGTGCAAGGCCCTTACCCCTCCTTACCCAGGACATTTCTCAGGCTTGTTTATAGGAAGTAACCCTGAGGGATGACGTAATGCCTCCCTTTGGAATAAACAGAAGGCTTTCTATAAAAGCAGTGGATTCCCCAATTGCAGAGTTTCTCTCCTGTAATTTCAGCCTCTTATAATTGTTCCTTGCATTTAATGCTTATTTTCGTTCAGGATATGGTTGATGCAAGAATTCAAGGAAAAAGAGTGAGTTATTAAAATAATAAATACCAGAAACACATTTTCCAATTATTATGTCTAATTGTGACCCTTAATTATCCTAAAAAGACAAACCAAACCAAACAATTGAATTCAATAGAAATAATAGCTATTTTTTAGTGTCTACTATGTGCCAGGTAAACTCTTAATGCTTTATGTTGTTTTACTCCTTGCAGCAACACTTCGAGGTAAGTAATATTATTATCCCCATTTTACAAATGAGGAAACTGAGGCCTAGAGGCATTAAATAGTTTGCCAGAGGTTTCGTAGCTAGTAAGTGATGGAGTAAGGCTCTGAACGTAGCCTTTCTGGTTCCAACACCCAGGCTCTCAATCACCTCATTAGGAAGTTACCACTATTTTTTTGGTAATAAACGGAAGCTTTTATAATGAGTTGCTGTTTGGCATTCAACTTTTATCAAGAAATGTATAATGAAAAGCACTGTGCAAAGAATAGGGTCCTGGAGATGCTTCTGCTACATACACAATAGGAACCTGAGGAAGATCCTGTCTTATCAAAAGGACTGCATGGGATGGGGCGAGTATTTATTATACGTTATGTTAGGGCCATTTGTACTTCGTAATTCTCATGAAAGTGGATTTATCTTGGCAAGAATCAATACTACAAATATTGCTCCAAGTCCTAGTTATAAAACCGAAGTCAAAACAGATGTCCAGATAAATGCTTCCAAAGCGCACAAGAATGGAGTTAACTAAGGGGACCACCCTAGCTCTTTATTGCTAAGCGTCTGAGGATGGCAGTTCCCCTGGATCAATCTCTCAATTATGATTTCCAGACTTTTTTTTTTTTCCTTTCTTTTTCAGGAGTATTCCCTGGGGACTTTTGGGGCTCTACACACATCTAAAATCCGGGGACCGATGCTGGGCATGTAAGAACCAAGAGAAGGCAATTTAAGGGAGAAAATGGAGACAGAAATGACAGGGTCAAAAGGAAAGACAACCAAGCTGCCTGGGTAAGAAAATGTGTATAATCCAAGAGGGCTGTTCCTGCCATTTTATCTTGTCCACTGCAGGAGCGGCGTCCCCAGCTCGCAGGGTAACTAGGCAACGACGTTGCCCTGGTAACCTGGGTGACGCGGAGGGCTCCCGGTGGGAGGGGTGAGGGCGTGTCAGGCTCTCGCGAGAGCTGCGAGGGGCCGTCGCCCGGCATCTTCGGGTTGCCCTTAGCGACGCGCTGGCGGCCGGGAGCTCCGCCATGGCCGCTCCCGAAGGGATGCCCAGCTCGGCCCTGCGGGTCCTGGAAGAGGCGTTGGGCGTGGGCTTGACCACCGCCGGGGACACCGCGGACGCGGTGGCCGCCGAGGGCGCCTACTACCTGGAGCGTATCCTTCCCGGGGGGCTGTTGGGGACCAGGGCGCGGGCTCGCCGCGGGGGGCGCCCTGTGAGCCTCGGGGCCACCGAGCCGTCCCTGGTGCCCTGATGCTGCCCGCTGAGTTTGTCTCCCTGTAGGAATGTGTTCCCGCTGGAAGAAGAGCCGGAAGACCTTCAGGAGTCTGTGTTCAGTAACCGCTCAGTACACTTGGGATGGAAGTTTTATTTAAGGCAGCGCAACAGTGTTCCAACCCTCCTTTCCCCTAGTGGTGTTCCTGAGTAAGCCCCAAGGCTTCAGAATACCGCGGGAACAAATTCGGCAGGGGACCGTGAGGAGCTTAGGGAAAGCCCTCTGCCTTTGGGCTTGAACGAGCTCAAGCTCTGAATGGCGGACCTGTGATCCTGTAAATGGCCCCCTTGTCCAGTGCTTAAATGATTTGTTTGGGTAGCATCAACTTCCTGGGTAGTTTCAATTTTGGCTATTTAATAATAATAATTACTCTTCCCTGCCCCCCCCCCCCAACCGTTAGCAATTAAATGATGGCCCGGTGAGCTGACAAGGCTCAGAGGTGTTAGGAAGAAACCAGATGGTGATGAGCAATTATCAGTAGAAGTACCAGAAAAATGGAATAGCCACATCTGGATATGTTTGTTTTTGGTGAGGAAGATTAGCCCTGAACTAACATCTGTTGCCAATCGTCCTCTTTTTGCTGAGGAAGGTTGGCTCTGGGCTAACATCCATGCCCATCTTCCTCCACTTTGTACGTGGGACGCCTGCCACAGCATGGCTTGATAAGCAGTGAGCAAGTCCTTGCTTAGGATCTGAACCTGTGAACCCCGGGAAGATGAGGCAGAGCGTAAACTTAACCCGTATGCCCCCAGGCCAGCCCCAGATTCCATTATTATTTTTTTTTTTGGTTGGCGGGAGAGGAAGACCAGCTTGAGCTAACGTCCGATGCCAGTCCTCCTCTTTTTGCTGAGGAAGACTGGCCCCGGGCTAACATCCGTGCCCATCTTCCTGTACTTTATAAGGGATGCTGCCACAGCATGGCTTAACAAGTGGTGAGTTGGTGCGCGCCCAGGATCCGAACCTGTGAACCCCGGGTCACGGCAGCAGAGCAGCACACTTAAGCGATAGGCCACCAGGGCCCCCCGCCGTTCCATATTTTTTTGTGTAAGGCTTCTGAGCTCCCCTCCTCTAGGCCTACAGAGTACTGGTACTGGAGAGATGGGGACGGTTCAAGAGAAAAAGATATCTAACCTTTTCTTTCAGGCAGATAGGAGAGAGATGGTTATCTGTTTTATTCTTAGAGAGATAAGGAAACTCCAGATATACCTTATCTTATTTTTTTTGTCCAACTCTAATCCCCCCAGCTTTAATTCAAGATTTCCGAGATCCAGCAGGGATTCATTTTGTGGGCTCTGGCACACTGATTAACCTGTCCTGACTCAGGCTCAGTTCACATCGTGCTGCAGGGAGCTTTGAAGAACTTAGTTGAAAAGATCAAAGAAAATATGTAGTATTTTTTATTCCATGCAAACATGATTGTTACAGGAATACAAGTTTGAATAGTTTGAAATCAATTTGAATGATATATGTGGGTGCTCTAGTGTCTTAAATGAGGTTTTATATTAGGTTTTCGTAGCTCTAACAAGCTGTCTTTTTCACTAATATTCCTTTTTAAATTCTAAAACAAGCCAACAATTCTTCCAGAGCTTATCTACATCAAGTATAAAGGTATCCAGTGTCCTTGCTAGTGAATATTAGCAGGGCTCTTATCAGGCATCTTATCATTTTTGTATGCATTAAAATGATTCCTATCACACATAGTTTAATTGTTAACATGAGCATCACATAGTGAGGTAACTTTTTGCAAACATCTTTGTGAAATTAATGGTGGGACTCCAATATAGCACAACTTTCAGCAATGAAAATCAGGTTTACTTAATTTGAAGGGACATCACTGAGTCCCAGCTGCCAACATATCACAGTTTGCAAAAAAACCTGTCTTACGAAGATTTCTGCAAATAATCACATTTCCAAATATAAAGAACTCTAACTTTTCATGATTTTATTCTCTAGTTTGTGGATTATCGAGCACCTTTGCTTTTCTTCCATCTCTCCGTGGTTGATTGACTGTTCTTTTGGGTTTCGCCCAAAGAGTAGTCAGAGAGTAACAAAACTAAACATTTAACCAATCAATTTTCCTACGTTCAATGTTCCACTAAGAAGGTTAGTCATAGGAGAGACTTTAACTCTTAGTTAAAATGAAGTTGAGGATTACTTTTGAATGCCAATTATCCCTACATCCCTGGGCTCTCTTAACATGCACAATTAAGAGTTGACTGTATAATATTATTTGACGTTGTTTCTTAAGGCAATTATGATAGTTGCTGAAGTGAGATTTTCTTAGGTTTAAAGTCTTTAGCTCTCAGGTAATTCAATTGAGCTATTGTAGTGGATAAATAAAAATTATAATATGCCCAAATGAATCTGAAATCTGATGTTCTCTACTTTGCACATATACTTAATCACTTCTAATCTACTGCATTTGGTCCTGGACTTCCCTTATTTATGACTGAACAGATGCTCCTAGAACACTAGACAATGAGCTGTCAATGTTTAGCAAGGCTTTGAAAGAGGTTAATTTGAATTCTCCAGGAAATCACCCTTTTATTTGCTCTTAGACATGTATAGATTAATGTGGCCCAAACTAGAAACATAGCCAGGACCCACCATGGGGGAAATGGCTTCGTTAATAGAGGCCCCACATTCTTTATGACAGTTTAGAGGATGTGTTCAGGAAAAAGAATTCTTACCCTTGCAACACTCCTCCCTTGTAACCTCCTAGCTGTAATGATGCTACCTGTTTGTCTTCTGAAGCACTTCACAATATCATTGCTTTTAAGTATTAAACTTCCACAAGGCAAGATACAAACGTACATGACGTAGTTCTTATCTTACTTAGCTATCTCCAGAGCTTTAAGAAATCTGGTCATGGAATACACGAATCCTCTGGAGAACTCTTCATTAGGAAGATATTTGCAGCATTGTAAAATATAAGGCTCGATTTTAACTATGTGATCTGTAAAGGGGCAGGTAGGTGTTTCTAGAATTTGTAAAGAAGGTTGGTTGTTTTTGTGAATGAGTCCTCTATTAGAAATCAATACAACTTGGGTGAGGTTTTCAATTGCAGTGTTGATCAGCTGCCTATTAATGTGTGGCTGCAGACATCTGGGACTGCCCAGTTCAATTGGGAGATGCAGGCTGGGATGAACTGTACTAGGAAAGCTAACACTTAATTGATTTTGTTGCTACTTGTCTAAAGAAAGATGTTGTTCAAGGGAGAGGAATGGAATACATGGACTCTAGGAAAATGGAGCCCCCAAAGTATTGTTTTGTTACTTACCTCTTTATGCTGCTTCTCTGCTCCCCTAACTAGCTTTTGATTATTATTTCATCTTTCTAGGCATTCTGACTAAGAATTTGGCTTCTTAGCTTGTGGACATAAGTTTACTGGCCACTGAAAAAATCTCCTCTGGTCCCAACAGCAGTATCTGAGGTTTGAGTGAGTTTAAGCCAGTCCTTTGAGGCTAATCAACTCTGGATGTAGTCCCAAAATTAACTGTTTCTGATAATGCAAAATTAAGGATTCCAGACCCTGAAATATGGTGATCACACTAAACTGATACCCCATCCAAGATGATTGCTTCTCTTCTTAAGTGACATCCCTAGCCATTCTTTCTTTGCAATAGTAATGTTCACTGATAACTTTAATTAAAATGGAACTTTTGTTATTTTTAACAATTATTTTATTATTTATTTCTTTTAACCTTTAGTTATTTTTTTCTCTCTAAGATGTTACTTCTCTGGAATGCTTATAGTATTAAGTGAGAAGATATTTGTAAAATCCTTAATAAACATTGTGTACTCAAGTAGTGTATTTCTTATTATCACTGGAAAACTGAATTTGCCCATGGGTGCTTAGTTGCACACTACATATATTCAGATAAAAAGGAGAGACAATCTGAATGTAGAATCTAGACCAAGAGGCCTGTTACTAAACCCAAGTGCTGAATTTTACATGCATGAAAATCATAGGCTATTTGGAGAGAAAAAATTGTGTTTTGTTCTGTGTCCTCTAGTCTAGGCAGACTTTAATGTGCATATGAATCAAAGATATGGATCTTTCGATGAAGATGCTAATTCAGTAAGTCCGGGTCAGGGCTGAGAGTCTGCATTGTTAACAAACTCCCAGGTGCTGCTGGTCTAAGGACTGTAATTGGAGTAGCAAGGCTGTAGACAAGTATCTTAACCTCTAGCCTTTATGTTTTCAGATAGAGGCATAATGTGTAGAGCTCATATCTTTGGATCTCCTGGCTTAGAAGTTGGAAAAACTTACACCACCACCCACTATGAGAACTATAAGTCTATGTGTTGAAAGTTATTTTCCAGCTTCTGAGACAGAAGATGTGCAACAACTGTCTAGGGCAGAGGTGGCCAATAATTTTCCACTCTTGCCAATTCTGTTGAATTGGTAGTGGTTCCCTAGCATGTGGTGTTAATAAGAATTCTGAGACCTCATGAAGACTCAGTGGGAAAGACTGCAGGAAGCAAACTACAATGGGAAAAGCGGCAGCGAATGTGCCAATTATTTTCCATCTTTGGTCTATATTATTTAGTTAACTCACTTTATTTAAACTGGCATTCCTAAGAAAGGGAACATCACTGTGAAGTTTGCTATTTATAGTACTTTTCTTTTATTTCAGTTTAGTAAGGAAAATGTTAATCACGGAAGATCCAGGCTAGATTTTAGATTGCCTCTGTGTGCGTTGACTCTGCAGTGATGGCAAAGATTACAAAGCAATTTCTGTCTATAGTAGCTTTGGGAAATCATGTGAAATATAATTAGCTATATGTTTCACTCCAGTTCTTATAAAGATGCTGCTCCTGGCAGTGATCACTATGTACAAAGGCAGTAGTGGAAAGGACCAGTGTGTGAGAAACTTT